CTTGTCAAACTTTTCCTTGGCCTGCCAGACTACCAGATCTCTCTCCCATCAAGCATGTCTGGGATATGATGGGAAGGCGATTGCATCTGGCACGGAATGTTGATGACCTCGTTCGACAATTGGATCGAATTTGGCAGGAAATACTGCAAGAGACCATCCGGGAGCTTTATCGGTCTATGCCACGCCGTGTGACAGCTGGTATCCAGGCTAGAGGCGGGTCAACACCTTGTTGAACTTGTTACTGTAACTCGGCAATAAATTATTTAATTGTTCTGAAATTTTAATCATTTACTATTCCGTACATTGTCTTCCTATCCACCAATTTTCGTTTCAATCGGACAACTCCTTCTTGGTGCGTCGATTTTTTTGTTATAGAGTGTAGATAACAGTAAGCAAATGAAACACAGATTCTAAAATTTTTTCTGTTAAAAAATTAAGTAATTACTTTCTTTCATTTTACTCACATGTTTGTTGCATCAAGAGACATTTTAGCTTTTTGCATCGTTGGAGAAGTAATTTTAAAGTTGATCCGGTGAATTTATGGCAAAAATTAATTGCAAGACATTCCAACTGTATACAGTTACTACTAAGGGCTTCTACATGACTGTCATCCACGAAGATAATGCCATAAAGATTGACAACTCGAAGATTTGGAACTGCACTTTTTAATTTATGAATGTTAATTACTTCGTAGATTTCTTCTTCTTCTTCTGCAACTTTTTCATATGTACCTAGGATTAAAATTGTAATTTATGTAACATGAAAAATGGTATTATACTTTTTTAACACATCATTTAAAAAGTATAGTAATTCAAAGAAATCTCAAAATTCAAATAATTTGCTAGTAAATGACACTTTCATATTTTTATTAGGCTAAGAAATCTATTTCTTGCATTCTTTTAGGTTTGCTTTGAAAATAGTTCACAACGATTCTGCGCGGAGAAAAAAATTCTGGAGAAATTATCGTTCTACATTGTAATAATATTTCTGATAAAAAATAAAAATTCCGTTTAATAAAATTGAAATATACGTTATTTAAATCATTCATTTGGTAATTTAATGGTTTATATAGTAATAGTTTACCCTGGAAATCTGGTTTTCTAAATTATAGTTCTTATTACCACACATTCTGTAAAAAAATTGAAAAGTAAATTTAACCGAATTTTATGCCATGCTCTAACTAAAGTATCATGATAAAATTACCAAATTTCATCAAATGTTATAAAGTCATATTTTATTTTTAATTTTACCAAAATCATAACCAAAGTGGTTTGATAAAAATTACCACGCTTTTTGGGGTTCCCATAGAACCAGAAGCACTGTAAATTTCACCATAATCAGGTAGTTTAGACCATAATTTTTTTCTGAGTATAAAATTAGTTATAATTTCTTTCAAAATTACAATTTCCTTTGGCAATTACTTGAATTTTTAAATTCTGCAAAGGCGGCAGACTCGAAAAGATCTTATTTTTAAGTATCATGGTTGATCAGGAAATCAATAACACAAGTTGTAGAAATAAATACAACTCTCTCTGGCATCTTCAGCATGAGTGACATAGTTCCGTAAAAATAATTGCTATTTGACAACTAGTTAAATTTTCCTTTTGTGACGTAACTAAGTTAACTGTTAACTGATCATGAAACCGAAACGTAAATATCTTCCTCATAAAAATGCTTATCTTTGCTCTGAATATGAGCAAAAACTGATTCTGAAGCATACAGAAAGGTTCTCCTTTTTTCTCAAGCATACATAAAGCAGAACTTGTTACGTAATTCAACCGGTTGAAACTCTTTCTTTGCTTATAGTTTGTCTAAAATAAGAACTCCCCTTGCCATTCGTCTTGACCCGTGGCGGTGACTATGTTAACGAGGTATTACTATTTCAGTGTTGTCCTGTTTAGGACAGGGTTTGGCTCTGGTCAGCTAGAGAAACGGAATTTGAATTGTGTTAACTCTAAAGTGAAGAGAATCTACCCTCTCTGAAACGCGCCATTCTTGTTTCCATAACAGCAGACGGTCTCAGACTTTGTTGCTAGGGGGGTTCTTACCGTAGACAAACCAAAGGAGATTACATTACTTATGAGGGAAATCATAAATATTAAAATTAAAACAGTTAAGAGGTTCCTTTCGTTTCACTGGGGATCCGTCCCATCACCAAGCTTATGGCAAAGAATAGAGCGAAATTCGTCAGAAATTTTAACTTTGCAGATTCAGTAAAGGTAGGAAGGGGGGCTCTAAAAAGTTTGTTAGCACTGGACATTTTTTTAATTACTCACCTCCTAATCTTTGGAGGTATCGATATGAATTAATAACGAGATGGTTTTCTCTGTATCTGATTTTGTACCTTATATTAACGTCTGTATGGCATATTATTAGGAGTGCTCCTCTAATCATCGAGAATATATTTCAGTATGTTGATGATTACGCAAAAATTTTTTTAGGGTCAAACTATTTTCACTTTTTGCTCAGTACATAAAAGTCGTAAAAATGTAATCACACTATTTCTCCATTTTGTTCATGTTTATTTCGCATGATCTTAACTTTATGAACTAAATATGAATTTTACATTACATTTCAGGTGTCTACCGCTTGAGGAAGACAAAATAAAAATTCAAAGTTACAGTGCTTCTCAGAATTTCTCCCTTGAAATTTTTTTTTTCACTATTTGATAAATATCTGCAAAATGAATATTTTTCCTAATTTCTAAGTAATTTTTTTTATATGCATATGAAATATCAGAGAATGACTATTTTAGACCAATGATATCCCGTGCCAACAATGTGATAGAAACTATGTGATAAGAACACTCTGTTCTAAATGTTAGATAACGAAATAATATGAAATTATAGTAAATTACAAACAAATTAGCATGAAATCATGATAATTAAATCTCTACGAAGATAAATTTAAAGGTAAACATGAAAAAAAAATTTCAATAAAGGAATAACTTACCTATAAGATGTAAAACTTCTAGTCCATTGATGAAGTTGTAAATTTTTCGCATAAAACCTTCCATAAAAATAACTTCTGATAAGCAAATACACATTGTCCGCAGCCTGCTGGGAAATGTTTGTAAATCACTAAAGTCATGAAGTTGCATAGCAGTTGAAAAATCAAGTAACATGTGAGTAAGAGAAGTACATTTATAAGCCAATTCTTGAAGTACTGTATGGGTAATCAATTCGATTGGTAGTTCTATATAACGCAATGATGGTCCTGAAATGCAACGTTAATAATATTATCAAAGAATTACTTGGGTAGTAATATATAAAAGAAAACTGTATTTATACACTGTTAGAAATTTCTCGGAAAAAAGGTTAAATAACAAATTATTGAATGTTTATTTTACTATATTTAATCAAAACAGTCAAATAACTACAAGTAAAATGGTAATCAAACTGTTAAGTTTGAGAAAAACTGTTTAATAACTGCTTTCACCTAATACGGTTAAAAAACCAGAATTTTATCTCACCTTACGAAAAGTCGAGCTCCTATGCCTAGTTGAATAATAATTTTTTTTTACGTTTGTTGTTGTTGTTGTTAATTTACGTCGCACTAGAGCTGCACAATGGGCCATTGGCGACGGTCTGGGAAACATCCCGGAGGATGATCCGAAGACATGCCATCACAATTTTGATCCTCTGCGGAGGGGATGGCACCCCCGCTTCGGTAGCCCGACGACCTGCGCGCGAAGTCGAGCACTTTACGGTAGCACAGTTTAACGAGGACCAATACCGCACACCCTCGGTCCCTACGCAGGCTGATCCAAGTGGTCACCCACCCGCACACTGACCGCAGCCAGTGATGCTTGACTTCGGTGATCTGCTGGGAACCGTGTCTTAACGATCAGTCCACTGCGGGACTTTACGTTTTTGAAAAATGTTAGTTGTAAATGGATAAAAAACCGTATAGTTTTGTATTCATGGTCTTATAACCATACTTTTTGTAAATGGTTTCAAAACCATAAAGTAAAAAAATGTTCTTTACCGTAAACTTTATGGTTAGTCGGATGGACAGACAGCTGCCAGTTATT